AGTGTTCTCTGAACTAATGGCAGAAAACTTCACAAATAGAGGAAAATAACCTGACATACAGATAAGAGAGGCTTACAGGACTCAAACTAGCCATGATGAAATAAAATCTACACATAGGCATATGTGTAGATTCCAGAAACACAAGAGAAGAACAAAATTCTACAAGCAGTTAGAGAAAAGAAACAAATCATGTACAAGGGAAAGCCCATCAGAATCACAGCAGACTTCTCAACTCAAACACACAAGGCAAGAAGAGAGTGGAGTGATGTATTTAACACCCTAAAGCAAAACAGCCTTCAACCCAGATTGATGTACCCTGCAAAGCTATCTTTCAAAATTGATGGAGAAATGAGATAGTTTCACGACAAAGAGCACCTTAGGAACTTCATGAACATCAAACATGCACTCCACATAATTTTAAACAATGTCCTAGGAAAAGACAATGAGGATCACAATGCCAGGAAGCTCAGCAGAATGAATCCATCAGACACAACAAGAAATTAAAAGCAAAGGGAGTGAATCCAACAAAAAGAACAGGGCAGGACCAGGATAAGTCAATACATATCAGTTATAACCATTAATGTCAATGCTCTCAATTCAATAACCAAAAGAAACAGACTAGCAGAATGATTCAAGAAGCAAGATGCAACAGCATGCTGCATACAAGAGATACACTTAACTAAAAAAGAAATACATTGACTGAAAATTAAGGGGTGTAAAGCAATACTCCATGTGACAGAAACCCAAAAAAGCATGAGTAGCTATCTACCCTCTTTGCAGATCAAGTGGCTTTCAAACCAACACTGACTGAGAGAGACAAAGAAGGACATGACATCCTTACAAGGGAATTACACAGGAGGAAGAGATGACAGTCACAAATATATAAACACCAAATACTAGTGTGCCCAATTATACAACACAAAAAACTAATGTGCATGACAAGTCATATAAGCACTAATACAGTAGTAGTGGAACACCTCAATACTCCACTGTCACAAATACATAAATCAACGAGACAAAAATTAACCAATGAATTAATAGAACTCAATCAAACTCTTGAACAAATGAACTTAACAGATGTTTACACAGTGTTCCACCCCACATATCAGAATATACATTTTTTTCACCTGCGCATGGATCATTCTCCAAAATAGGTCACGTACTCAGAAATAGAACATGTCTTAATCAGTGCAAAAGAATTGAAGTTATCCCCTGTATACCATCAGACCATGGTTTGATGAAATTGGAGATCAATAGCAAAAGAAACAGCAAGAATTTCACAAACTCACGGAGATTGAACAGCACACTTGTGAATAACCAATGGATCACAGAGGAAATTTAAGAAGAAATCAGACAGTTCCTACAATCAAATGAAAATGACAAGAGAATGTATCAGAATCTATGGGACACAATGGGAAACCAAGGAAATTCATAGCAGGGAATACTCAGGAAAACAGAATGAGCTCAACTACATAACCTGATGGTTAACCTCAATCTTCTAGAAAAAGACAAGCATGTCCAACCCAAAGCTCATACAAGGGAGAAAATCATAAAGATCAGAGCAGAAATTAACGTAATAGAGACTAAGATATCAATACAGAAAAATCGATAATGCAAGAGTTGGTCTTTGAAAGGATAAACAAAACTGACATCCTAAAAACAGGCAAACTTATCAAAACCTTATCAAAAATGGAAAGAAATGGCTGAAATCCATGCAATTAGGAATGAAAAGTGTATATTACAATGGACCCAGCAGAAATCCAGAGGATCATTAATGACGACTTCGAGAACCTATATGCCAGTAAGATGGAAATTACCGAAGAAATGCGCATATTCCTAGATGTGTATGAATTTAAAAAGTTGAACGAAGATGACCTCAACATTTGAAATGACCCAATATCATTCGATGAAGTTGAAAATGCAAGAAAAACCTTACCTGCTAAGAAAAGTCTGGGTCCTGATGACTCTCTCCCCCCTTCTTCTCCTGAGCTCTTCTGGTCCCACTTCTTGACTTTTGAGTCCAACTGGCCCTGCTCACACAGAGATCCCGATGTCTGTCCCCAAAGTGCAGTGCAGCACAGCCACGTGAGCCTCAGGTCCACATGCTGTCCTGCAGAGGAGCAGTCCCAAAAAGTAATGATACATTGACACGTGAGCGACTTAGGAAAAGGAGCGGCCCACAGAGGGGTGCCCGAATCCCGAGTTGGGACTCTGCCAGCCAAGGGTCACAGAACCACAGAATGCCCGGCTGGTACCACTTCCACCACCAGGTCTCCAAGGGCAGAGGCAGCCACCTCAGGGCTGCTCTGGGACTCGGTAAAGGCTCCAGCGACGCAGTCCTTCTGTGAACCATCCCGGAGCTGGCCTGTCACACCAGGGGCCGCTCTCTGCTGCACAGCCAAGGAAGCAGCCTGCCACCGAAGGACATGAGTCGAGTAGGAAAGAGACCCGAGATCATAGCAGTGCCCCCACATGTGCTTCAGGAGGGAGCCTATAACCAGCAGTCAGGAAATACCAAGGGTTCCATGGACAGAGAGTCCTAGGAAGAAAGGCGACAATGCGAAGGAACGCTAGGATGCCTGCTACAGAAGGACCTGCAGTTTTCTCCCAGGACACACTGCACAGGGGCCAGCAGAGCTGGTTCTCTGGGCTATTCTTGGAGTTGGGCATCGCCAGCTCACAGAGTGCATGGTTTGACAGCCTGAACCATGGCCTCGCTTTGGGGTGGATGTGTAGGAAGTACTGCTATGTACTCAAAACTAGGCTGTGTCCCGAGGGTGTGCTACGTGTCACGGACATGCAGGCGCCTCAGAGCAAATGTCCATGTGGATTGAAAAATCCTCTGCAACTGAGGGAAGCCCCGCTCTGGCTCTCACCAAGTGCTCCTCTGGGACCCACAGGAGATAATGAGCCTGGGTGACCCGCAAAGCAGCAGGAATTTGTGCAGGGATGCTCTGCGAGGGCCTCACTGGACAACTGTAATCCCCAGAATGCAGACAGGACTTCTCCTCTTGGGTGCCTCCTAGGAAAACCTCCCTCAAAGCACCGCCACCACCCAGGAGTTAATTGATGGAGACGGTGCAGCCTCAGCCCTCAGCACCTCAGCCCAGGAGGTCCTTGAGGGAAATTTTGGCCTCACTGGAAGTGGAGGCACCAGCGAATCTCCCCTTGACCACAAAGTCACCCGTGAAGGAGCTTCTCCTTAAGGCTGCACAGGATATGGGCCTCGTCACTCACTGGATACCAAGCTTGGCCAGAGCTAGTACCCCACCCCTGGCCAGGCCCCTTCCCTGATTTCATGCTTTGCTCAGTACCCTGCAGATGAACCGCTGGAGCGGCCTTTGGCTGAAATCTACCTTGACCTTAAGTGAAGCCCCATCAGCTTTTCTCCCTCATCAAGGAAACCACACAGCCCAAGCCAGATTGTGAAGCAGCCTTACTAGTTTTGCAAAGATGGTGGACTTGGGAGACCCATGTATTACAACACCCACATCTAATCAGATTTCCCAACGTTGCCTTTCTCCCGGCCTCCTGGGCCAATGCCAGTGGATTAGAGCGCACTGTGGGTGCAAAGAGGCTGCCTCTCTGGCATCTGCGGCCCCTTTCCGACATCTGTTGTCACAACTGTGGGGCCTCCCCACCTGCACCCACCGCCGCTTCTCCCTTCACGCTGCACATTTGCTGGGCACCCACTGCGACTGCTGAAGACCGATTCTTCGTATCCTTAAACTGCCAGCTGGCTGCACTGCCAGTATTCATTCCTCCAGGGACGCCATCCTACCTTCCAGGTGGAACACAGGGCCACCGGGCACAGGAGGTGAGGCCGTGTCCCTTCTTAAGTCTAAGGGGAGATGCTCCCTCTATCACTTAGCTGCTGTCAATCCTTCAGAGGTGACACACGTAGCTCTATCAAAGACACAATGGGGCCATGGACACTGTCCTGCATGGAAATCAGAAGGCACGACCACCTCTATGGCCATACTGATCAGCAGTCCAGCACATACCAGTACCTACTCAGCAACCTTACTTGGGTATACATTTTCTCAGAGAGGCCGCTGTCACTTCTTTTCCACAGAAATGGTGCCATTTCATGAGCCAGGAAGAGGGGGATGAAGGTGAAGAGTAGGGTGTTTGTGTTTGCATGTATGCACGTGTGTTAGGATCTCAGCTTCAAAGAGCAGAAGGACTGTGACATAGATCCTGGCCATGCCAAACACTCAGTGTTGTGCTGGTCCTGCTGGGTATGCATTGGCTCCCAGGCCTGGCTGGTGTTGGTTTAGGTGCAGAGCCTTTGAGCACACATTGCCAAGTGAGCAGGGTAGGGTCCCACTCCACAACCTGAGTGAGGGGCATCCGGGGACTTTCATTCTCATCAGCACTCTCGGGTGTGCTAGGTTTAGATGGTGCCAGAAAACCTTGTAGCCCTGGACAATCCAATGCACTGACCACCCTGGAAATCTGTGTCCCTCGGATGGCCATATGGTCCCTACACATCAATCTCCCAGGGCAAATCTAGCAAAACCTAAGTAGCACTTCCACCTAGCTGCAGGGTTTAGTCCCTCACATGCAGCTTGAAATGCCTGCTCTGCTCAGCAGTTACTATTTACTCTAATGGGAGGGCCAAAGTTGGGGGCTGCTAATTGAGAACTGGATCCAATTCCAACCCTGAGTATCCATTGGAATTTTTATCCCAGTCACTGTACGACAGTGTGAGCTGTGAAAGGCAGGCAGGTGTCTCCTTGGGACTTGTGATAGTTCACTGATGCATTTACTCAGCCTTTGCCAGTGCCCTCAGCACCAAAGTTTCTGCCACAGTGGCAGTGAGGAAGTCACAAGTAGGAGAGGACGTCCTTCTAGGGTGGCACCGCATGGCCCAGTTCCACATCAAATTGCCCAAGTGCTCTTTCACCACTGTGGTGGGAAGTCAGCAATAGAAAGTAAGATTAGGAAACCCCCTAATTTATGACCCCTTCCAAGTGTCCCATAAATATGAGAGATCTGCCTGCCATTGTGTGTTCACTGTTGCTTCCTGAGACCAGGGACACAAGACTCTTGTCTGAGAGCCTTCGGCTGGCCCGCCTCACTCCAGAGCTGTAAGTAAGGGAAACCTCTTGCTCATTCGCACTGTGCTTCTCTGCTGGGAGCTGGGCTGCCATCTGACCTCCAAGGGAGGCCGCGCCAGAGAGCCTGGGTGCTGGCTTCCTCTGTGTGGGCTCCTTTGGCTGATGAGAGTAGTTGCTCCCTACTAAGCTCCTGAGAAGTGTGAAGGTTCTGATGGAAGCACAGGTCACCTCCATATCCAGCCAGTGGAAAAACAAGGGCTTCTCAGAACTTCGTACTGGGAGAAATGTGTATTCACACGTTTGTAATGAAGTTGTTTGTTATTTGTGCTTGAATTGTGTTGGCTGCTTACATATTTTGGATATTATTTGCAAATATTCTACTAGGTCCTCTTTCCTTTTTCTCACCCCAGTGAGTACTGTGTGGTGCACAAGCTTTCTAACGTGATATTACCCCATTTGTCTGCTTTTTATTCAGTCGTGCTGGCTTTTGGTGTCCTGTACAAGAAATCATTGCCGAGATCCATGTCCAGAACTTTATCTCTTTGTCTTCCTTTTCTAATGTGTTTTTTTGTTTTATAGGTTATATTTATGTCGTTAAAACATGAGGATTCAAACACAGTTCCACTCACATGCACACACACACAAACACACCCTGCATCTACAGATTGCACACTTTTGATATACAAAGGATCAATTTGCCATTCATACCTTGGGATATACGGAAGAAAAACCAGTTTTAAGTGTTAGACCTAGTCTCTGCCTAGGGTAACACTGAATTCGTATCAGACCATAGTCTGATAACGTCAGTGAGACGTCCACAATTGCTACTGCAGGAACCTGGGCAACCAGTAAGTGCAAAACCCCTTTCATAGGATGGAAGCACCCCAGCCATGATGAAGGATGACTTTCTACATTCCTAGGACACACATGTGGTACTCAGGCTACGCCCTCGCAGCACGGTTCACATTAGAAATGCAGAATCCTTGATTCTCTGGGCATAATGAATGAAAGCACAATTTCCTGTCTGTGTTTAATATTAAAGGAAAATGTTCAGTCATAGGGGAAGTAGAAACACAAAGACAACACAGTTTTCATTCCCACTATTGGCTTGAACTAGGAGAGGCACTGAACACACAGGCACAGCCTTGTGGAAACCAGGAGAGCATGGGGCTTCCAGGGGACGCTAGGGCAATGGCAGCTCTGTCCAACCTCGTCACACACACAGCTTCCCTCACTGCACCCTCAGCCTCTGAGCCTTCTCCTAACCAACCATAAATACAGCCTCACTCCTCTCTCACGCTCACCTGGATCCTGCTCTCCATCCTCAGGGACTCCCAGCCATGAGGACCCTCACCCTCCTCGCTGCCATCCTCCTGCTGGCCCTGCAGGCCCAGGCTGAGCCTCTCCCAGGAAGAGCCGACCTGGCTGATGAAGAGGAGCAGGTTGCAGTCATCTTTCCGGGGGAGGAAAGCTCCGCTCTCCAAGATGCAGGTGAGAGAAGTCAACAGGACGGACACACGGGGTTCAGCGAGAGGAGGGTACACAGGTTCTGGAATTGGTTTAGATTTAGCTGACTTTATTTAACCTCCTGTACCTGGCTTTTCTCTCTGAACATTAAGAGCTAAAGGAATCCACGATGTGTTCTCGGAGAAAGACTTGATTCCAAACATGATGCCAAAGATCACACGGTGCAGTATGTGAAAAGGCTTATGGATTAGTTCTAGCTGAATCTAATGCAAAGGCTTAATCATTAGGAGGGTATCGTATTCCCTAATCTGAAATAATCCTCGGATTCTCTAACCCCTTATACTCTATTTGAAGCTGCAATAATAAGAGCTTCAGCAACTGGAGATCAACAGGAGGACATGGCCACCTATATGCGTGATGGGGCATGGGTAGCAGAAGTGAAGACACAGGACAAGTGGTCTCCACCCTGTGTGGGACCCAAAGGTGTAACGTGTATGTATAAGCTCTGACTGTGGCTCTTCATGCTGCTGTCTGTAACCTATCAAGACAGAAGAGGCAGTGTCCACACAGAAGGCATCTTCTCCACCACTTGATTAACACTTATACCTGGATGTCCCCGTTCTGGTCGCCTGATGCTCCTTCTGTGTCCACAGGTGTATGGAGAAGCGAGGCCTGCCATTGCAGAATATTGTGTTTTCCATGGGAACGTTCAAGTGGATCGTGCAGAAGAAACATTTTTCGCTTCAGACTCTGCTGCCGCTGAGAATCTAAAGCTGTAAAAAATGATTTTAAAAATTTCCCTGAGGGCCAGGGGAGTAGCTCAGCAGTGTAGCACTTGCCTGGCAAGCATAAGGCCCTGAATTTGATTCTCAGTACTAAAAAAATAAAAATAAAAATTGCATTGTAACCTAAGAGGCAATAGATTTTATCCCTGAGCCATGTCCTTAACTTTCTTTCTCTACCGCAAATAAATCCCCTGCTGCACGCCACCTTTTACTGTGCTTCTGTGATGTTTCCTTGGTAGCTTTGTCGGGACTCTGAGTTGCAATGGTTAGAATGTTCAATGACCTCCTTGAAAACAAAATCAGTGTCAAATGCCAGTAATTACAGTGATGAACACAGGCTCTGTCCACAGAGCGACATGAAGTGTATATGAGGATGTGCTTTCTGGTAGCTGTTGCTCTTCTCAGTGAGAGCTGCCTTCGTTAGAAGTGACTTTCAAGGACATTTCTCACATGATAGGCAAAGTGACGATCATTAGGCTCCAGTTTACCAGGTAGAGAGGCCTTCACTCCTTAGAACGATGACCAGTCCTTTCCAAAGTGCTGGCCATTCTTGAATTGGCCCAGGTGGTGCCTGTGCCTTTTCGGCAGAGGGTTGTATCACCTTCACTAAGACAACTTTAAGTAACATTAGCAAACGCTGTTAGGAAAGACAAGATGAGCAAGATGAAAAGCAAGGAGCCGCATCCTGAGGTGTGCTCATTATTATTATTTTCTACCCACAAGTAGTGCAGCTGGGGTTTGTACATATCAAGGTGATTTCCAAGATAAGAAGTATACATGGAGAATTCCTCAGGTGCACTTTGAACAACTCCTTAGAGTAGGCTTAAACTGCTGAGAACCTGATACTGCCTGGAAAATAATGTGCGTGCACTTAGGCAAAATGGTCTCAGCAAGCTAGAGACCCTAAGATGTTTCTGGGTGCTGGGGTGTTAGAACACACACAACATCAGACCGATCAGCCATGGGAGGCAGGAAAATTGGGTCGAAGGAAAGAATGGCGACAACAGAAGCAGAATGTCTTAGTTCAGCACAGACTGCTCTGGGACATCACCAGCTACCCCTGGTTTATATCCCGTGCTGTCACCCCCAGCACACACACACTCCACACGCACACATGCAGAGCCTCAGGCACACACACCTGAAATTATACTATAGGGCTGGATTGATTAAAACAGGATTCAAACCATGATCTTAGGGGCACAAAAGCCTGTAATTAATGATTACAGAATCATTGATCAATGGTACAGAATGGGGGATGCAGAAATAACCTGACACACATGAGCTTTGACAAAGCGGACAAAAACACACACTTGGGGAGCGACAGCCTCTTTAATAAATAGTGTCTTCCTGTGTACTAAACTACATGCAAAATAAACCAAAGATCTAAATGCTAAAAGAGACACACTTCATCAGTGGAAATAAATATAAAATAGGTAAAACTCTTGAAGACATAAGCAAAGGCAATGACTTTTTAAACAGAATGAAATAATACCAAGAATCAACAAATGGGACCATATCAAATGAAAAACCTTCACAATAAAAGATACAACCTGCGAAGTGAAAAGACAGCCTATAGACTAGAAAAACTATTTTGTTAGCTATTCCTTGGACAGAGCGCTAACACCTAAAATATTTAGAGAACTCAACAAAAGTAGATCTCCCCAAATAAAAGATTCACTAATATAAAAGGTAACAAAAATGAATAGATATTTTGAAGAAAAAGAAGTGCAGATGTCCAATAAATACGTGAAATCATATTCAATGTCATTGGTCTTTAGATATATGCAAATTAGAATGACAAGGAGAGACAATCTTTCTCGAGAAACAATGGTTATCATCAAATCAAAACATCTAGAAATATGGAATGCTGGCAAGGAAGTGTATGAGAGAGGCACTCTTCGAGATTCTGGTTTGGAATGTAAATTAGTCCAACCACTTGGAAATCCATGAAGATCCCTCATGAAGCTAATGATGGAAATTCCATTTCATCCAGCTATTACTTCTCAATATCTCCCTGAAGAGTTAATATCATCATATGCTAGGATTCCATGCACTACCATGTGTATTACAATCACGAGGTCTTAGAAATGGCACATATATTACTCAGCAGACGAGTGGACAAGGAAAGGGGCATATTTGCGCACAATGGAGGACCTCGTGACCTAAAGAATAGAAAATTGAAGCAATAAATGGATGCAATTTGAAAATATAATGTTAAACAAAATAGATAAGGAACACAAGCTTTAATATCACGGGTTTTTTATATGCGAATATAATAGATGAATAGTTAGAACTTGACATAACTCCCCAAATTACCTATTCGATGGTTTCATAAATATTTTAATATATTGCTAATTGGTGTCATCTGTACTACTAGCATCTGTAGTTCAATGAAACAAAAGTTTCGTGCTACTATCTGTGTCTTCCTTCTTTGTAAGAATCTTTCCTTTAAGTCTTGCACTCTGCGTAATGATATTGAAGATCATACTTGGTGTATTCATTGTTGTTATTTTCTTGTTATGTCATTATGAAATTTTGCTTTATATTTCCATAATATCAGAAAGAAGAAAGGAGCTTCATGCATGCTGTCTGGTTACCCCGGGGTTTTCAGGAATCAGAGAAACAATTGCGAGTGTGTGTGGCACACTCTGCATCATGGTCTTCCTTGCTACCCCCGACCACAAGCAACTTGGGAAGTGGTGGTGAGGGTGGCAGCTGCTTTGACAAGGGTCCTGTTTTACATTTGTGATGGTCAACATCATCTGTCAGCTTCAATGGTCAGGGAGCCTTCTAGGGAAGCAGGAAAGCATCTTCTGAGGGTGTCTGGGTGGTCTTGGAGGCATGTGCTCATGAACAATGGCATCTGGGCCCTGGCATCTTCCTCTCTGCTCTTCTGCTCTGTTTCCTGTCCTCCATGAACTGAGCAGCTCTGCTCCACCATGCCCTTCTACCACGCTGTTTCCACCTAGAGCTCAGTTGACCATGGACTGAGGCCATGGGCCAAAGAAATCTCCTTTAGTTTTTGGTTGTCACATATGGTGGCTCAGCAATTGGAAAGCTGCTTAACACAATGGTTTTGTGGAGATTTCCTTATTTTTCACTATCTAAAAATATCTCTGTAGATGAAGGAAGATCCAAGCCAGAGATCTGTCCAGCCGTAGAGATTCTGTCAAGCCTGCCTGCCTTAGGCCCACCCAGGAAAGAGCTGCAGAGGCAGAAAAGTTTCTGTCAGAGATCCCACCATAGCATCCATGAGTGTACATAGATCCTGGGGAGCAAATGCATGGTCTAGAGCCTTGTAGCTGCAGGAAGATCCCAGCTGGGCATCTGCTCTGACCCCACGGACTGGGGCAAACCCATCCAGCCAAAGTCCACACAGGAGAGAGCAGCACAGGTTCACAAGCTTCAGTCAGAGACCTGCCTCATGGCATCATGGTTTGTACCCAGGAATTGGTGTAGTGTTGAGTAGCAAATTGAAGACGTTTGGTGACTGTGTGAGCAAATGTTGTCTCAGTAAAGGCACAGAAGGCTTCATCTGTTGAAATAAGAAGACACAAACACAAGACCCAAAACCAGACTTCCAGATCACCTAAGGCAACCCCAAAGGGAAATGAGATGGAAGAATTTGATACTCAACCACCTGGACTCCATGAACTGCCAATGAAACAGGATCTGGAAACATGAAGTCACAAATAATTTCTCAGATAACAGCAGAGATTGTGCCCATAGTACAAGATATGATTAATAACTCCAGAGCACACACAAGTTAAAAAAAAACAGAGGAATTGAGGAACATGATGGAATCCCAATATAGGATGCAAATGGAATCCATAAAAGAGATTCAAACAGATTTCCAGAACCTTAAAACCTAAATTGAAATTTTACACAGCAGAATTAGCCAATGAGGGGACAGAATTTCAGATATAGAAGATAGGATTGCAATTAGTGACCAGGAAAAGAAAAATCCCTTATGAACTCTAATGGACCATGAGAGATCAATCCAGCACCTGCTAGACGATTTGAAGAATAATAAATAAGACTGATTGGAGTCAGTGAAGAAACAGGAGAGAGTGCAGATGACATTTAAAAAAGCGTTCTCCGAACTAATGGCAGAAAACTTCACAAATAGCGGAAAAGAACCTGACATACAGATAAGAGATGCTTACAGGACTCAAACTAGCCATGATGAAATAAAATCTACACATAGGCATATGTGTAGATTCCAGAAACACAAGAGAAGAACAAAATTCTACAAGCAGCTAGATAAAAGAAAGAAATCATGTACAAAGGAAAGCCCATCAGAATCACAGCAGAGTTCTCACTCAAACACACAAGGCAAAAAGAGAGTCGAGTGATGTATTTAACACCCTAAAGCCAAAGAGGCTCCAACCCAGATTGATGTACCCTACAAAGCTATCTTTCAAAATTGGTGGAGAAATGAGATAGTTTCATGACAAAGAGCACCTTAGGTACTACTTGAACACCAAACATGCACTCCACATAATTTTAAACAATGTCCTAGGAAAAGACAATGAGGATCACAATGCCAGGAAGCCCAGCAGAATGAATCCATCAGACACAACAAGAAATTAAAAGCAAAGGGAGTGAATCCAACAAAAAGAAAAGGGCAGGACCAGGATAAGTCAATACATATCAGTTATAATCATTAATGTTAATGCTCTCAATTCACCAACCAAAATAAACAGACTAGCCGAATGACTCAAGAAGAAAGAGCCAACAATATGCTGCTCATAAGAAACACACTTAAATAAAAAAGAAACACATGCACTGAAAATTAAGGGGTGTAAAGCAATACTCCATGTGACAGAAACCCAAAAAAAGCATGAGTAGCTATCTACCCTCTTTGCAGATCAAGTGGATTTCAAACCAACACTGACTGAGAGAGACAAAGAAGGACATGACATCCTTACAAGGGAATTACACAGGAGGAAGAGATGACAGTCACAAATATATAAACACCAAATACTAGTGTGCTCAATTATGCAACACAAAAAACTAATGTGCATGACAAATCATATAAGCACTAATACAGTAGTAGTGGAACACCTCAATACTCCACTGTCACAAATACATAAATCAACGAGACAAAAATTAACCAATGAATTAATAGAACTCAATCAAACTCTTGAACAAATGAACTTAACAGATGTTTACAGAGTGTTCCTCCCCACATATC